GGGGGGCTCTTGGGAAAAAAGGTTGGGAACCACTGGTCTAATGGATAGTGAGGTGGGCTGATGATCGGAAGGTTGCGAGTACAAATCCCGCCTGGAACAACACCACTACTAGTGTGAGTAAGGCGGTGCGGTGCCCCCACAAATAGAATCAAATTCTGTGGCAAACACTGTAGTTCATGTAGTTCTCCATGTCCACTTGTTGCTGATGGTTGTGGTAGAGGAGCTGTAGATTTTGCACTAACATCTGATCTGTAACATGGTCAGTAGCAGTAGCACTAGCTACTGACAATAGCTACGGACCATGCTACAGCAGTGAGCAGCAGAGGTGGGGAGAGGCGGGGCTATGGCTTCATCGTTATCAGGAAATGATCGTATAGGCCCTATAGGGCGTACACACTGAGCCGTTTGGCCCCCCAGAGCGTTCCGTTTGCAGATATATCCACCTTGGGACCCGTTATAGTTTGCGGTGTTCGTTTCCACGTTTCCGTTACGGCCTCATAACTGATACAACCTTTGGTATTCTCGTGTAAACAGCACCTTAGTCCTTCTCTCAACGATCACATGGAGGTCAACTGCAGGATTCATGTTACAAAGTAATCCAACAGGAGTGAGCGCTTGATGGATGTCACATTGTGTGATGTAAAGGTTGAGTGAAGTTTAACCTTTTTGCTAGACAAGCCTGTGTTTTATAGTGTGCTTTTTCACATGCTGATGTGTCTCTGAAAACAGCTTTGTTTATATTCATCAAAATGTGGGATCGGAAAACATTTGTTTAGCCATCTGTACTGACACTTAGGTATCCTATTGGCAAAAGTAAATAATTGTTTTAACAAAACCCAGCCTTAATGGTTTCTACCATCTCTCATATCTTTACAACACATGTATGTTAATTTGTGTGTTCATATGTAAATGGTAAATGGATTGCGCTTTCCCAGTCTTTTTCCTCAGCATTCACCATGTCAAACAGATTCATACAGAAGCAGAGGTATGGAGGTAGATTTGTCTATTCGGTGAACAGAGAAATAATCGATATGAAAAGTGTAAAAAATGTGTACATTTAAACATGAAACATCTATGAATACTATAATTCATTTAAAGATAAACAAAAAGCATTTACACCCAGGTTATTGATCTCTTTACACAAAAAAACGTTAAACCAAAACTACCTCCACACGGAGGCTGCCATATAAGTTGCAACTTTCTCAGAGGGACTAACATTTACACATACTCAAACCCTGTTGGCAATGAGGAGTAATTTGAGGTTATGTATCTTGCCCAAGGACTGCAGGGGCTGGGGATCGAACCACCTTTCCTCGGCTTGCAGGACAACCACCTAGCTCCTCAGCAACAGTTGCCCCTGTCTTTATTGTACCTTCTTAATTGTGTGTGCTGTCTATAGGAACTATACCATCAGGCTATTCCTGTATCAACTGTACATTTTGTAGCGTTGGCCCTCTTGTTATTCCCTTTTGTTAGAGTGGAAGGAAAAGTCATTAAAAGAAGACGGTCTACTATCTGGCCACTTGCTCTTGTTAATTTTAAACAAATGGCTGCAGCCCAGTCTTTTAATGTTCTGTTATTCCCCAGAGCCCCCGGGACCTCTGCTACATCCAAATGACAAGAAATACTGTCACGCTCGGGCTCTAACATGAAGTGTTATTGAAAATGCTGGGTATAATGAGATGTTAAAAACAGGGTCACAAGCACAGATGACGTTTAATTGTAGCAAAAACATCAGCAGTGTGTGCCGAGTGACTCAGAGATGAGGAGAAATCAACCAGAGAGGGTCAGCTCAGCTTAAAGCTCACAAACTAGCAGGGCATCAGAGTGTTTTATCTGTGATGCTGATGATTAGGCAACAGACTGGAACCTGGCGCTTACTCACATGTTATTTCAATCCCTGACTGACAAACACAGACACACTGCGAGAAAAGTACTTGCTGCAGATCTGTTCCCATGGTAACAAGGACCAATAGATCTCGGCTATTGACTGAGGATGAAGATCTCTGTAGACCTTGAAAAAACGAAAAGAAAAACACCTACAGAAGAAAACGCACACGTACTGTATGTGTCAGCAAACACTATGCTCACACACAAATGAATACATCACACACTCTGGCTAGGCATCAGCCTCCAAAACATCCTTTTTGTTGAATTGTTCTTTTAACCCTTATTATTATCATTATTTATTTGTATATTGTTTTATTTATGTATCTCTCCTGCCCTCTGGGAGGCGCTACAAGAACCTCCACACCAGCCCCAACAGGTTCAGGAAGAGCTGCTTCCCCTCAGCTATCAACTGGCTGAACTCACAACGACAGCTGCCCACCCCACCCCGCACATACACACACAAAAACGACCCCCAACCTGGATAACCAGTGACTGACTGAATTTGATGAGGGACCTATACCCATTTTATATCATTTAAAATGTAAATGACGGTCTATGGTATATTCATTTGTATTGTCGATAGTGTCTGTATATTTGTAACCCTTATCTATATTGTATTCAACTTCTTTACTGCTGTTAATAATGTGTATTCCTCCTTATAGTGTTCATAGTGTAAATACATCAGGTTGTAATGATCCGTCACATTTATTTATTTTGTTTTAACTTGTGATGTGTCGCCATGTTGTCGAAGCACATAGAGCTGCACCTGGTGTATGAAAAGAGCTATACAAATAAAGCTTATTAGAATAAATGGAGAAAACAAAATTACAATATGAAGGTTTTCTCTCTTAAACACCTGAAACTGCTCAACACTTGAGTACCAGGTCAAATAAGGGGAATCAAATCTCCCCATGTAAAGGGAAAGCTGTCGCTAACTGTGGTCCAGCAGCATGATATAAAGAGGATATGTGTGAGAGGGCGCTTTGCTCAGATTTAACTGTATTTTTTCCAAATTATTTGGCAATCTCCTCCGTATTCTGTAGCTCTTTCATTCTCAAATATGTGCTTAACAAGGGGGTACGCATTTCATATATGTGTGGTTATTATAGGGGCGTAATCTTACTTTATTAAAATCAAATTACACCCTGCGTGGTGGCGGCGGCATGTGTAAATGCGGGGAGACACTATTTAATTATTTTCCAATTTTGAGAGTTAATAAGAAAGGCTGCTGAGGGTGATACTGAGGCAGTCTTCTTCTGGCTCTCGGAATACGTTCCCAGTCAATCACTTAAATTATAATCAGGACGTAAAATAGCAGCAGGCCAAAAGAGCAGCCGGTAAAGCATTCAAATATTTAATCGGTCCTGTGGTGCAAATGGAGAACAGAAGAAAGGACCATTTGTTCTGCTTTTGACCTCCTATTACTCAAGTTAGAGGACATCGAGTACTTGATGGAAGGGAGGATTTTAAGATATTACGTGTTGTTAATAAAAGCTAATCGTTTCTTTGGATAAAATAGCAGATATTTTCCAATAGATCTTGAACTACTCTTAATAAGGAAGATCATCTTTTTGTGGACATTTGAGAGCCATTTACAATTACACTTATATCACATTTTGCACAGTCAATGGTAACTTAATGTTAAATTGGTCAATGGTCAAATAAGCAAACATATCTTGAATGACATTCACTCTACTGTATATGAAATGTGATGTTTACATATGTATGTTAGGATACCAAAAAGCAAAGACTTTGTTACATATGTCTGTGTCGTTTTGCTTCAATTGGATCATTATATAATTGGGTGGATTGCATATCGCAGTCTGTCCTGAGTCATTATTCCTGGAAAGAGACATTTGACATTTAGGTTTTCCAAATGTCCAAATGTTCCAAATGTCACTGCTGCCAGCACCGACATTGAAATTCAGTTCCCATCCAGTTTGAGAATGGCATCAAGGGTTAGGGTTAGTGGCCAATACGTCCAAACCTCAGGAAAGCCTTAAATTAAACTATCCACACGGCTAGTAAGAAATACTGTTAAGTGGAACATGTTTAATATAGTTTGGGTGAATCTATCCTTTAATAGTCACTAGCATCTCTGAGCACGTCTGGACCTGGCAAGTGTAATTGGAATCCTATTGAGTGTCAGGTGCGTTTACTAAAATATTCTACATTTTGTGGATTTTTGCTTTTTATAAAGAATGTATCACTTGTGTATATATGCAGTAGCCTCCTCCTTAACCAGCTTAAAATTACGTGAAAATGACAAACATTGACACCCCAAGGTTGGTTGAAATGCCAGCGCTTGAAAAATATTAAAAATAAAGTTAAAAAAAAAACATGAAATATAATATTTTAATTTTAAAAAACTCAAAAAACTCTCAATCCTAGTATAAAACATGCAAGAGGGATTAAAAAGATAAATTGCCTTGTATCGTTCATGTTGTATTTAAGTTATTTAAAAAACCTTTTGACTTCCCTAAAAAAATGTCCTGTCCTCTTTAAGAGCTGTAGTCAAAGCAACATGAACGTATTTGCTGCTATTTTTATGTTTTTTCAGATGGCTGTGAAGACATGGAGATGATAAATCATGTATCCGTGCCGACTGTGAAACGTCCCCTATGGATGTTGTTCGAGGATGACGGCCTCGGGGCTCAATGCTCCATGAATGAATGAAAAGTGTATTTCTTAATGAAACCAATCGGCCGCTCTGAGCGCGCTGTGGCGGCGCGGCAGAGCGCGGCAGAGCGGCGCTGCGGTCACCGTGCGCTCCAGCGGCTTGTTTGGGGACGTGACATCGGTTAGGGCCTGTGCTACTACATCGGTTTTCTTTTAAACAATAAAGTGTAGTCACAATATGAATCCCCTCAGGGATCACAACACCAGACGCAACAGAATGACAGCCTCATATTTTACACAGCTGTTGTTTTCAGTGGTTATCTTATGGCTCTGGTTTACATTGGCTAATAAAGAATTGCATTAATGACATTAACAATCATCCAGCTTGTGATGCAATTGGAATCAGAACAGCTGTGCGTGCGTTTGTTGTTTGATAATAAGGAATAAGGGACCGCTCTCACAGGTTGGATAATAAACACATGTAGTCTTACCGTCAGCGGCCATGGAGCTCTGCAGCATCAGCACCAGCACCGCGGTCACCAACCACCGGGCCAGCTTCCCATCCAGCGCCCGCGTCCTCGGCGAACACACGGCAACCATCCCCGTATCCAGGACCCATGCCACCGCAGAGGAAGCGCGAGAGTCTCGTTTAGTGTTCACCCCTCCAACCCCGGAGCCGCCGCTGCCGCTGCTGGAGAGGAGCGCATGTTTTGGAGCCATTGGTCAACCAATTAATCCTGAATGGAAAACATACGGCGCTGCTGTGGTGAAAGGCATCCGATCAACCTGCCTCCGGTGCGGACAAGCGGGGCTCCGCTCTCCATGAGCCTGCTGGAGGCTGTGGGGATCGATCCGGAAACAAAGGGATGTCAGGGGAGTTTTTGCGCGTCTCACGGTGTCCGTTTCTGTGTGAGCAGTCTGGTGTCCCTACTGCGACCGCAGCGCGCGCTCCATCTCTGCTGGAAGCTGCGTTCATACACTGAAACAACACCGGAAACAGTCTATGCTGCTTTCAAAATAAAAGCATTCAAATTACCTGGAAGTGCACTTGGCATTGAGTAGTGAAAGAGTTTACTTTTGAACTATCAGAATGGCTAGTTTACAATATCTCTAAAAGATATTCAGTAGGCTAGCACACGTTGTTTTACCTGCTGACGTAGTCACTTTTCTTATCCTATATGGATGTGAGACAAATTGAAAAATGTCTACTTTATATAGGCTACTTGAAGTATTTTGATGCCAATGTTTTTGTAGGCCTACTTTTACTCAAGTACACATTTGAATACAGGGCTTTTACTTGTAACATAGTAATGTTACAATGTGGTATTGCTACTTTTCCTCAAGTAAAATGCCTGAATACTTATTTACACCTCTGTCTAAATTGATACAAATTACATTCTTCCGGTGTTGTGTCAGCTAGCTTTACGCATGCTTCCAGCAGATAGTAATTGTACACAGTGTAATTACGGTGAAAATGACGGGAACATACCGGCATGACGTTCAGACTAATTACCCCACCACCAGAAACAGAGCCCAGAGAGGCTGAACCACTCACAACTGTCTTCATGTGTTCTTTAATGGACCGTAGGAAACATGTGAAGCCCACTGCATTATTTGAGGACCAAAACCCAAGGCAGGCAGTGAGGCAGCTGAGTTCAGTGGGAGGCCGGCGGCCCCTGGTGGGGGCTGAGAGCAGAGCCACGGTGCAGGCTGCCCGGTCACAGCAGGGCAGCCACACCGGGGAAACACACTCCTAGCGACTAAACCTCCCCAAAAGGCAAAATACATTTACTCAAGTACTGCACATATTTTAGACTTCTACTCGACTACAATGGAAGCCAGATTTGTAGTTTTTATTCCACTAGGCTATTTGACAGATTTGTATTTTCTTAATCGTAATTAAATACTTTTACTACCATTCTCAATGCAGTACTTTTACTTGGAATTGCGTATTTTTACAGTGTGGTATTAGCACTTATACTCAAGCAAAGAATCTGAATACTTTCTCCACCACTGCTAATGAGTAAACACTAAGGCTAGGCTATATCATTAGCCTTAACCTGCACAGTGAGTATTGGATTAGTTTTGTTTCATAAAGGTAAAGCAACACTTTCTCAGAATCAAGCAAAACTAAGAGTTTAAGAGAAAAAAAACGGAGTCAAGCTAAGTAAATTTAATTTCAAAAATAAAACTATTAAGTTGCAAACAAATCATTTGTGTAATCATGTAGGCCTAAACTATAAATATTGTTTCTTTGTTTTACCCATAGACTGTAGGCCTATAATATAAATGGACGTAGTGTCCGTGACGTCACCCATAGGATTCTGCAGAGTTGCCGTGAAGCCCTTAGTAGGCGGAGTCGGCCACTAACGGCTCGACTGTGACGTCAGAGTCTAATCCCGCCTGCTCCAAATAAGGGTAAAGAGGCGGAGCCGAGGCGGGACCTGCTGCCTCCGTACTGGAAGTAAACAGAGCTAGCTCAGGATAAGAAGCTAAGCTAACATGAAATACATGCATACCAAGTTACTGCTAACAGTGTAGTTCCCCTATATAAACGTTACATTCATAATCAAATGAGACAATCTGCAAGAGAATTAGCTATATTTTTGTTATTCTTAATGCTTGTCATTCACACGTTGAGAAAAGACGGACTCCACCGCCCGGACCTAACGGAGCCGCAGTGGGCTAGCTCCGGGACGCCGGCTGGAGCTAGCCCCCTGCGGCTCCGTTAGCTCCGGCGGCCACCACTGGGATAATTGGGTCCCCTATTAACATTTGTTCCCGTTTAGCATTATGGGCGTCATAGCCATAGACTATAAAAGTCTTACCCAAGGCTGAATCATAAACTAAAATGTATATGTATGCATAAAGGGTTACGTCTTTAGCTGGCTAATAAGTAACAAGCTAAGTTACCAAGCACACAAACACCTGCGAACGGGGTTAACATGTATAATATTATCATTTTAGACTTCTTGGAAGTTCTGTTAGTACATTCAAGCGCACAGCACGACATTTTAATTGTCTGGTATTTGTAACAATATTCCCTAAAAGGCACAATCACCACGAACACGGCTAAAGCTAAAGGGTCAAGTACAGTACTATGACTAACTAACGTTGTAGCCTCTATGGTTGTAGCCAGAGCCATATAATAGAAGAGTTATGACATCTCCGTTCACTCCAATGGACCACTTTTTTACAGCAATGGCGGATCGTGGAGCCTCTCAATCGTTCCCCGGAAGTTAGCGCCAAGGCTAGCAGAGCTGTGGAGTTGCAGCATAATAGACCGTTCGTGACGGACTTTTAAAGGTAAGAAGAAGTTTAAAGATTTATATTGCGGATATTATCAGTACATCTGATTCAATTGAATATGTGTATTAAAGGATGTCAGTGGATTATCCCTAAATTAGTAGATTTAGGGAACGTTTACAGATAACAGATCAAGCTAGGATACCGAAGCAAGTTAGCAACACACGTTGAACAGCCTTTTAATTGTAAATTCCGTTCTCTTAATGTCATTTGGTCCAACGTTGTTGAATTACAGAAGAGGGGCTTCTAAACGGGATTGTATGCGGGGGTGGAGGGAGTTAAATATGAGATAAATATAACTTTGGTGCGTGTAAGAGTGAGTGTTTTTAGCAGAGCCATATTGTGTCCTTGTGATTATGTTGATTATTACCTGTGTGTATAATGTTGCAGCTCAGCTGATTTTGGATTGATGGCAAAGGGAGAGGAACTTAAGTGAGAGTGAACACACAAGGTAAGTTTAATACTACTGTTTTATATAAGTAAGCATACTAAACATGTATTATATCACTGTATTATATAAGTAATCTTGTTAGTAACCTACTGTATGGCAGGTGGAGGGGCAGTGATGTTACAGGTGGAGGAGCAAAACTGCAAGACTGCAAACTCACAAGACAGAGAAATCGAAGTTTGTTCTCCAGAGATGAGGTTGATTTCACTTCAATTTTTTCATATTTTCTAAAGATGTGGAAATGGCACAAAAAAAAACTTGAGAGCTGTAACCAAGACAACTGTAACAACATGAGTAGACAGCCACCAAGGTTTTTCAAGTCCCTCTCTTACTCCATTTTGCCAACCCAAACTTCCAGGTACATGACGGGACACCTTGCTTGTTTTTGTTGTTTGCGCTCCTCTGGCAGGTGGAGGGCAGTGATCCCTTCCCTTCTTCCCTCAATCTTTGAGACTAATTCATAGTTCATACTTATTATACCTGTGTCACCTTTCACACTATCGCTGTGATCATGAGCTATGGGCTTTGTAGATACAGGTCCCGGGGTGAATCGTGGTGCAGGGGCCCTTCTCTTTTTGACCACAGGGCGATGCACGAAGATGGTGGGTATAGCCTCTGCTCTCAGCCTAGTCTTGCCCTTTTTTGTCTTGACAAACTGGTCTGCATCAAAATGTGCCTGCGGAGTGACTTGAGGTTACTTCACACACAGAACAACTCAGTTTTGTCTGCCCACATACATATTCCATAGTGGTTGAATACACAGTATTAGGAAACACTTTATACTTACTGGACATGTTATACTCATTACATACTGTATATACAATATGACCAAGAATGTGAGACAACTTTATAGAAATTCATATCACACCTGTTACTGATGCCATTTGTCATACTTTGTTAAACTCACAAATAATAAAGTTCCATAACTTCAGTTGGGAACAAAGACCACACCTTATCTCCCCAAGGCAATTTCCCATCCAATAGGTGTGCTATATAGGTGTGTATAACCCTTTCTCCTGTCTGTTTATCCCTCTTTCAGCACAAGAACCAGAGGGGGATTCAATGGAGCCTGAATACCTGCACTGAGACCCTCACCCTGCACCCTGAGTCTCAACTCTCAGTGTTTTTCAAGCCTTTCCCTGTTTTTTGTATTAAACAAAACATTAAGCTTTCCCAATGGTGTGGTTTTCGTTTTGTGAAAAAGTGCAAATGCAGTGTTTGTATATAAATCACATATTTTTTTGCTGTTGGTCGTGAAATTGCTCCTGCTTCCTCCGCTCTGTGTCAGTGGGGAAGCTGTACATTCATACTCCTTTCTCTGAGCGATTGGAGCATCCCCAGGCAGCACAGCAAACCATGGTGGCGACTAGGAGGCAGCACAGCAAACCAAGGTGGCGACTAGGAGGCAGCACAGCAAACCAGGACAACAAGGAGGAAAAGGCACAGACAAACTGCATGATATGCTATTCAATGTTTATTGAATTCCATGTATTTGCAATGGATGTTCCTAAAACAACACATTTAACATCATCATCATCATCATGCTGCTGCTGCTAGTCCTTTGATAGTCACCTGTCGGTCTCCTGTCCTTTCTGAAAGCCATAAAGATGACATTAGTCATTTAGATAACTTGTGTCCTCAATTACCAGGGGATTACTGAAACTACCATGAATTTAAGAAAATGGTAGACATTAATCTAATCTGAATTTTAAAGCATTACTTTAGATCCCCTCCCTCTAAATATATCAATAAACATTAGAAAGTGATGCTCCTGACTACCATACAAGTTTAAGAAGATAATATTGGTTTTAAAGAATTCAAAGCTATAAACAGCAACAGGCTCTTTAACCAAGGCACTGTTAGCCTAACATGTAAACTAGTTGTTCACACTAATCCTAATATTATCACTTAATATTAGCAAATTCTATTTTATTTTTTAAAACATATTGATGTAAATACATACACATATCGATTTGTTGTATAAATATTGCAAATCAAAACCTTTATTCACTAATAATTACCAAAAATCGTAGTTCTATCTCCTGTTATCAATGCATTCACATTGCCCGCCATGAACTTCCGGGGAACGATCCTCTTCTACATGAACCACGTGACGATAACCGTTTTTGGACTTCCGTTGTCGTAACTCTTCTATTATATGGCTCTGGTTGTAGCCTAGCAGAGTCGACAAGTTGCTATTAG